CTTCCTCATTTTATCTTTCACTTGTTTTAGTTTTTTGTTTTTATATCTCATTCCAGTCATGACGACGGTATTTATTTTTTACCTACAATGTATTTGATGTAATCAGGAGTTTTTGGGTTCCGTTACAGTTATTTTAATGTTTTATTTAAAAAAAACAAAAAAAAATGTGAAATATTTATTGTGTACACAGACGTGTTTTTTTTGTTTTTATATAACTGTGTTTTTGTTATTTGGTTGTCGTGACTGAAATTTTTAGAAACTGTGGCGCTTTAAAATCTTTTTAACAAAACTCGGCGTGTTCTCGGAGGTTTAAATACAATGAGGGGGAATTTTATCGAAACTGGAGCACATGAAATCTGGAGCGGCCGCGCACGGCAACCAATCGGCTTCTCTCTCTCATTTGTTTTCAAATCCTAAGGCCCCATTCACACTGCGCGATTCGCAAATCGCGCGTTTTTGTCGCGCGATTTGCATTTTGTTGCGCGATATCGCACAATTTGTTGCGCGATATCGCGCAAATGCTTGCATCGAGCAAGCTTGAATCGCGGCTAAATCCGCTCCAAAAAGGGTCCTGCTGTAGCGACGCACGACCCGCGACAGCAGGACCCTTTGCCCCATTGCCTTGCATTGGAGAGCGATATCGCGCGGTAAATAGCCGCGATATCGCGGGAATTACCGCGTGATACAATCGCTCAATGTGAACGGGGCCTAAAGCTGGGCCATACACCTTGCGATCATCGGACGAAACCTCTAGTGATGATCGAACCGTTGTACGGTTTTCGTACGACGGCCCCAATCCCGCCCCCGATCATCGCAAGGTTGGATTAGCGGTATTTCAAAGAAGGCAACTGGACGAATTTTGGGAATTGACGGCACGGATTTTCGTTTGCGCATGAGCAGTGTAAAGCTGGCCATACACCTTACAACTATTGCCGACTTTCGTTGTGCGATGGTTGTAAGGTCACTAAAATTTCGTACGACCTGCCTATCATGGACAGGCAGATCGTACTTGCGATCATCGCAAGCCCTCCCCGCTGAGGGGCGGGCTTCCGATGATTGCAATGCTGAGCGGGCAGTGTGCGCTTGCGCACACCGGCCCGTGCGACTTTTGTCTTCCAAGCACGCCACCAACCCGCCGAAAATCGTACGACTGTACAGTAGAAGCGGTCGCACGCTGCCCATACACCTGGCGATTATTGTACGATCGCGGGATCACCCACAACTACCATACGATAATCGGCAGTGTTGTATTGGCACCTTTTAATCATATGAATTTCGACGTACGGAACCGCCACCAACTTTGCGAAAATCGTACAATCACACAGGAGTTTTCTAACCTGCTTGAAAGTCAAAAGTCGTACGATTGGTACGGTATTTGCGATTGTTCACTGCCCATCGACCTTACGAATATCGGCCGATAATCGTAAAGTGTATGGGCACCGGTGGTGTCCCGAGGATGGGTGTCACCTGGGGGCGGAGACTGGGTGACACCTCGCCGCGCATGGGCGGTGGTCTTTTTTTTATGTCTGCCGGCGGCCATCTTGGTGATGAACGCCGGCAGAGAGAGGAGGGGGCGCTCACCCGGCGGGATGAGGTATGCAGCCTCTCTCCTGACACTGTCGGGTCGTGACCGAGTGACTGACATTTCATAGAGGGTGACACCAAAATGACCGTCTGTCATTTTGGTGTCACCCCTCCAATGTTGGCACCCTTTGTGACGCCACTGATGGGCACCTTAAATGAGCAAACTGAAAAGAGAAGCTGATTGGTCGCCGTGCACAGCGGCTCCAGATTCTGTCTGCTCCAGTTTTGATAAATCCCCTCCCCCCCCCCAATGTATTCTAGAGACTCTGCCGGTTGATGTTTTAAACTGAGAGTGGAATGGAGTAACAGGCCATTAATATGTTTATTATACTATATGTAGGATATTACTTTGCCACCATAGAGCAGACTTTACATCAGACTGAGAGGTCCACTTATCTTGTAGACACCCCGAACCCCCGACATTCCCCTAAAGTGCCTTTCAAAAAAGAACCAATAGAGAAAGAGCGTGTGCCGGTGAGATCACTGGGCCCGGAACAGCTGAGGAGCCGAGGGATCCCATGAAGGTGCCCTAGCACAGCCGTAGCCAAACTCTGGCCCTCCAGCTGTGGTGAAACTACAAAACCCATGATGCATCTCTCTCCGGGAGTCGTGGCTGTGAGAAATGTTGCAATGCCTCGTGGGATTTGTAGTTCCACCACAGCTGGAGGGCCAGAGTTTGGCTACCCCTGCTCTAGCAATGTTAGGCCCCATTCACACTGAGCGATTTATCGCGCGGTAATTCCCGCGATATCACGGCTATTTACCGCGCGATATCGCTCTCCAATGCATCTCAATGGTGCTCTGTCCGTCGCTGTCGCGGGTCGTGCGTCGCTACAGCAGGACCCTTTTTGGAGCGGATTTAGCCGCCATTCTAGCTTGCTCAATGCAAGCATTTGCGCGATATCAAGCAAAATGCAAATCGCGCTACAAGCGCGCGATTTGCGAATCGCTCAAAGTGAATGGGGCCTTAGCGATGTGCATGTCTGCTCCTGAGGTTTTGGATCCTCGGCTATCCCAGGCTCCTGGATGGGGGCCAGTGATGTCACGGTAACCAAAGCAAACTTACTAGAATCTGGGGTGTAAGATGAGTATTTTTTTTCCCCTTTTTTTTTATTATTATTATTATTTTTAATTAACTG